TGTTTTGCATTTCTGGTTTAGATGTGTGTTTTATTACTTGTTTATGCATGACCAATTGCTATTATAAAATCTATGTTAATTGTTTGTTTTCACTGCATACTGGTATGGAATCCGTATACTTCCTCTATTTTGTATTGTGCCCAGCTGAGATGAGGTCCAAAGTTCATGGCTTTCAGTTACTTGCTGCACTCCGGTTAATATAGTTCATGAAAATTTCTTCCAAAAATCGAGCTGCACAAAGTTTTAGTTTTCGTGACATTTACGGTGAAATCATTGATGTTCCCCTCCGCCAAATTATATTTACTCCCTATTTGTTAGTTTAATACTTTATCCATCTACATATTATTATTTATGTTTGTGCTTTAATCTCTAGCTACTCGAACCATCTCTTATTGGTCCTGTGTTGTATATTGAGGTCAACCGACCTTTATTTGCTTCTGAATTTATACCGGGCGTGCTTGGTCTAGGTTTTGTTTGATGAACCCCGTGAAAGTGTAAAGCTAACAAATTAGAACTCTTCCATACACTTGCACTAATGGACTGTGTTTTGGTGTTCAAAGATTGTGGTTTCAATCAGTTTCCTGAAAAATAGTAAATAGTACTAGCCAGCATTATTTGACACTAGCTGTAGAAATAAGTAGAGATAGGGTGGCAAAGAAACCAAGCTGTTCATGAATGATTACTTCGGCTCATTTTTTCTTTTTGATAATTGAGATCAGCTTGATGTACTTAGATTTATTTATTGATGATTCATGCTTAATAAGTGTTTTTGTGAGTGATTGTTTTACGTGATGTTCTCATGGCCTTAGTTTTAAAGAGAATAGCAGAGATTCATATCAATTACAAAGAGAATGCTTTTATTTTTTCCTGTTTCAAGATTGATAAGCTTACTTGGGTTGTCGTACGAGATGTTTCTTGCACTTATAACTGTTGTCATTCACCTTCACAAGTTCAGTTAGTTCTTCCCTCGATTTAGGAAATATCCATACTGAAGGGGGAATTGCGTTCTTACATGGGATATTTCTTAAAGTTTGGAATTAGTGTCTTACATGGGACATCTCTTAAAAACATGTTATATGTGTCATCTATCAACTAGAGGCAGATGGAATTAGGGCCCTGAGAAAATGTAGGGAACTTGTTCTGTGCGGTTTCAGGTTAGGAATTCAAAGTCACTAAAATATAAACACTATATGATAATGAGAGATCATAGGAATTTATCACTAATCTGACCTAGACAAGTTGAGGGGAGAACCTGAACTGTGTCTGAAGCTCATGCTTTTGAACTTACAAGTTTCAGCAGAACTGTTATATGTACCTGTTGAAGTTACGCGTATGAGGATTGCTTAGTTTTATTAAGTTGATTTACCTCTGCATTGTGTATTTGTAGAACTGTGTAACTACATGCAAAGTTGATTTTATTTATTTGGCTTATTCAACGCGAAAAACCCTGAAACCTTCTTTCAAATATGCAAAGCTTGTCCCTTGGTTCTTTTACCTTTTCACCCTATGATTTGCAACAGTGGCTAAGTGTGACTTATTTCTTTTCAGACCTAGCTGCTCTGAACAGACCTCTTCAAGCCGTCGACACTCTGATTTATTCGATTCGTTTCAGTCCCTGAAACTGAAATGCTCTCCCCAGTCAAAAGTTTCGCCAGCCATGAGCAGCTTACAAGGTTATTATGGGCTTAAACAACCAGATCAGAAACATGCATCTGAAGGATTTGAAATGGCAGTGTATCGAAAGGGAGGATCACATTATCTGGAAGACGGCCCATTTGTCAAATCCTCTCCTCTTTCAAATCCACCACTTAGTCTGCAGAGAAAATCTAAAAGCGTAGCTAATGGTTTTATGTCAGAGAATGGAGTTCCTGCCAATCATCCATCTACACAAGACAACAGAGACAATGGTTCAGATAGATGGTTTGAGAAATTAGTGAGAAGGCGTCAAAAGTCGGAGACTGATTTCACACGTACCCCAGAAATGCTGTTGAAGGAAGATAACAGCAACAGTGGCTGGTTTTCAGCTGTCGGCAGCAAGGGCTTAGCTTTGAGACCCAAGTCAGCTAATCGAGCTCTCTCTGGAGCGGATGCTGAAGCAAGTTCAATAAGTCCTATTCCTATTGGCTTGGGGGATTCTTTCCTAAATGACAGTGCATCCATAGTTAGGAAGTCATCAAGTACATCAAATTTGCAGGATTCAGATAGCGGTACATTGTCTTCCCTGTGGAATTTGAAGCCAGATTTTCAAGCAATTTCTACTGCAGCCATTACTAAGCCAATCTTTGATGGCCTACCTAAACCAATTACAGGTCGAAGAAACAAGACTGCACTCGATTAGCTTATTCTTTCTAGATAACCTTTTTACAAGTTCCTTTCTTAAATACTTTAGACGGAGCATCCTCCGGTGAAGTGGTAACTGGAGAGCTGAAGATAGAAGCAAACACTTTGGTCGCTTCCTTTGGTTTATCAATTTTGATTGGCACATGTTCATATCTTCAATTTGTGAAGTGAACTGGTCTCAGAAGTTGAAGAGTTATAGCAGCACCAAACTTAGCAGCAATATATACGTTTATAGTCAAAATTTGCATTGTGCAAATTGCGACTCACAGCATATGTATATTAGGCATTTAAGTTCATTGATCTGAAATGGGGAGAAAGGATATTGTTCATACCTATATTATATATTCCCTGCATTATTTCACATGGTTTGTGTTTTATTTCATCCCTTATGCTTCAGGAGTGGAGATTGATAATTATTTTACGTTGAATTGCTAATTTTTTTTCAATAAGGAGCCTCAATTTTTCCATGAAGTTGTACTTCCGAAATTGTGTTGCAGTTAATTAAGGATTTGTCCCTTGAGAATGTGGGGCAGTGTCCCACTTTCATGTTTCGCGTGATGAAGACGACCAGTGGTGTTGGGTCGAAGCTCCAATAGATAGCCGCTCCCTTTATCAGATTATCGTAAGTATTTTACATTTTCTTCTGTAATACGATGATTTATCCTTTTCAATGACAGCGATTTTCCCTTTATCACAACTCCTCATTGGTTGTTTTCTGTCACCTTTCGCTTTCTCCTTTTTTTTTTCCATTTAATTCTCATTGATACCCAACTAATTCCTTTACAGCTAGTGTATTTCTTTAGAATCCTCTGTTATAATTATAACAATCATTAAATCATGTTGTCCAACCGCTAATGTTTATAGCTCGAAAAGTCATACCAGGTAAGGAAAACAAAGCAAAGGCTGCTTCAAACCTGTTTCATTCCTTCATTTGTGCTGCAAAATTCATCAACTTGGAAATGAAGTGTTTGACTCAAAATAGTCAGATGATTTAATGATGGAAGAACGTAAGCACAAGAGGAGTTTAAGCGAAACCGAAGCAGTTGAGTTCCCATGGTCAACGTTTTAAATTTTTTTATCTCCTACTTCTTCCGGCCAAAAAAGCCAAGTAAAAAGAAAGGAGAAGACGACTTGAATAATTTTAGACATATAGGCGGTATAGCCCTTAAATTACACGAAATTTTAACTAATTCGATTCATTACCATTACGTCATCAATATTATTCAACTCTAACAAATTTCTTACTCCAATATCATTCATATGCATAATACATATCTCATCAAGATCCTCCCAAGCCTCAAGATTGTTACTACAATTAATACTGATGTGTGTATCCTTAAGTTACTTTCCAGGAAAAATGCTAGGAGTAGTTCCTTACTATTATTATTTTTGGTTGAGAAAGCTCAATACGAGAATAAAACAAAAGTGCTTGAAGAGGTGCCTACCACGTCGATTTCTTGAAATTAAGGTTGCTTCCCACGTCTTTATTTCCTGTGAAATAGACGCAAGAAGACTAGCGACGATTTTTAGTAACAGTCGACACTTCGCTTACAACTCCAGAAAATCAAACGGAAAAAAGACCAACTTTTAACTTTTGCTGTATACTTTTACTTTTTCCTTCTTCATATTTCACAGGGGTTTGTATTTAAACTTACAAAGCGTAGCTTCTATTTAGTTCAAGTACCCACTCTCCAATGTAGATGATTAAGCACTAAAAGTAAAAAGGTCAGATCCGGCTTCTGTAGTCCTCGAGAAGGTCAATGCTGAAAACTGAATCTCATAGGGAAATGCTAAACAAATGTAGCCACTCTCAAAATAATAACAAAACAAAAAAAAATGTTTTACACAGTATATATAT